TCTCCTACCCACCACCATGGTGTTACACACACAAGTCCTCTCCTACCCACCACCATGGTGTTACACACACAAGTACTTCAGTACGGACACTTGGGTCAAGCAGTCTCGTATTTTCGTAAATTCTCTTTTCATTCCTCTAATATTTCCTGTCTTTTCAGTAGATCATCTAAAAAAAATATATGCCAGGTGGGCCACAGACACACAGCTTTCACTGTATCCTGCTTACCTTTATACACAGGATCATACCCCATACGTGGGGTACCTTCCCTTTTTTTTCGTACACGTCTAACACATATATTAAATGAACTTTTCTTGGTATCATATATATACAAACATTATCTCTACGTCCACAGTAGGACTCGAACCTGCAAACTCTGCTTTGCCGATGTGGAGTCTGGCGTTGTGGATAAAGTACTGTGTACTCTGATGCAGAGTTTGCAGGTTCGAGTCCTCAGCACTACACAGCACCAGCCCAGAGGGGAGGTCATGTTTTTTTAATATTATCCACGTACGAGGTGCTCTTGAGAGAGCACCATCGACCCAGGAGCTGGAGGATGACCACTCAGAGAGCTCCTTGAATTATTCAGCTGCACGATACAATGTCACATACAGGAACTCTGTCGGATAAAGAAAAAAACAATCACAGGTAGAAATAATCAAGCAACACGCGAAAGAGTAATCGATTACCTTGTGTAATTCATGGAATGAGGGCTGAGGGCCACGTTGAACCTGTCCTGTGAGAGCTGAGGGCCACTTTGAACCTGTCCTGTGAGGGCTGAGAGCCACGTTGAACCTGTCCTGTGAGGGCTGAGAGTCACGTTGAACCTGTCCTGTGAGGGCTGAGAGCCACGTTGAACCTGTCCTGTGAGGGCTGAGAGTCACGTTGAACCTGTCCTGTGAGGGCTGAGAGCCACGTTGAACCTGTCCTGTGAGGGCTGAAGTCACGTTGAAACCTGTCCTGTGAGGGGGTGAGAGCCACGTTGAACCTGTCCTGTGAGGGCCCGGGGCCACTTTGAACCTGTCCTGTGAGGGCTGAGAGCCACGTTGAACCTGTCCTGTGAGGGCTGAGAGCCACGTTGAACCTGTCCTGTGAGAGCTGAGGGCCACGTTGAACCTGTCCTGTGAGGGCTGAGAGCCACGTTGAACCTGTCCTGTGAGGGCTGAGAGCCACGTTGAACCTGTCCTGTGAGGGTGAGGCCAGTTGAACCCGTCCTTGAGGCTGAGAGCCCCGTTGAACCTGTCCGG